TTAATCTCATCAGTGAATTTTCTACTTCCTGGTGTATCCTTTTCGATTTAAAGAACTCCATGTAGCATTTTTTTTTTCTCTACAGACAAGTTGATGAAAACTTCTCTAAGCCTTTGCTTGTCTGTAAACGTTTTTTCTTTTAAACCTGAAGGATGACTTTACTGGTGACACTATTCTTGGGCAGCAGTGCTTTATTTCTTCCATCCCTATTGTGACAGTCTTTCCTCCCACTCCCTCCTGGCCCATATGATTCCTGCCAAGAAGTCTGCTGTCAGGTAAGCTGGGACACGCTTCTGCTAGTTTTTTTTCTTGGGGCTCTGAGGACCCTCCATTTGTATTTAATCTTAGCTTACTGAAATCTGTGCTTTGGGTACATTAGATTGAGTTGATGCTGACTGATGAACTTTGATTTCCCTGGACCTGGATACTTGTATTTTTCTCTTGGTTTGAATGTTTTCTGTTATCTCTTTGAAAATGCTTTTTACTCTGGAATTCTCAAGTCCCTCTTCAACCCCAGTAACTTACAATCTTTGTGTTGGTTTTGTCATACACATAAAATTTGTTTAAAGATTTATTTTTTTTATTACAAAGTCAGATATACAGAGAGGAGGAGAGACAGAGAGGAAGATCTTCCGTCCGATGATTCACTCCCCAAGCGAGCGCAACAGCTGGTGCTGCGCCGATCCAAAGCCAGGAACCAGGAACCTCCTCCGGGTCTCCCACACAGGTGCAGGGTCCCAAAGCTTTGGGCCATCCTCGACTGCTTTACCAGGTCACAAGCAGGGAGCTGGATGGGAAGTGGAGCTGCCGGGATTAGAACTGGTGCCTATATAGGATCCTGGCGCATTCAAGGCAAGGATTTCAGCCGCTAGGCCACAGCACCGGGCCCCACATAAATTCTTTATTTTTTCCTCAAAGCCTGTATTTTCATGTAGCCTTAATTGTCTAACTCAATAATTATTCTATTTGATCAATTCTGTTATTGATGCCATGTATCATGGTTTTTAACATCAGTGTACTTTTCAGCCCAGGGACTTCTGTTTGTATTTTAGAAATTTACTCCAATCTTGCAGTTACATTTCACCTTTAGGGTATTAAATTACTTCCCTTTGTTTTCTTAATGTTCTTCGAGTTTCTTTAAACAGCCATTTTGAATTCTACACTGCAGAGTCTATAGTTATATCTTCATATGGTCAGTTTCTGGCAGCTCATTTTGTTAAGCTGTTTTACTGAAAGTTCCTGATGCTTACTGACATACGATGTCACCTGCACAGGGAGGGATCAGGTACTTATCTTCATAATCCAGCTTTGTGCCTGGCCTTCCAAAAATGGTACGTAGCCTGCTCATTTTCTAAGGCTGTGGACATTTGCTTCAACACTAGATGGCGCCCTAAGATGCGCGTTACCTCAAGTCAGCTGTTGAAGTTCCCGCAAAGGAAACTCACCTATCTAAGGTTTATCCTGAAGCCGGTGTGTTGTGCAATGAGCTGGGGGCATGCTTAAAATGAAGTAGTGCATCCCTGAGAGCCCGGATTACGGCTGAAGCAGGCGTGAGGCTTTTCCCATAGTTAGCAGCCTATGCTCAAGCACCACCAGATTCTGCCAGCCAGGTCTTTATTGTGGCAGGACTAATCCCACCTCCCTTCTCTTCCCTCAAGCATACAAGTATTCATATTTTGTTACTTAGGATTATGGTGGACATCTGGTCTGCCACTACTACAAGTAGCCAAAGGGGGGTGGATACTGGCAAAGATTTAAGTCTGCTCAACCACAGCTTTGGGTCATCACTCAGTACAAGGAAGAGTCCAGATTTTCCAACCACAGGCACTGGTCTGGAGACAGTGGCCCTTAAGACCTTCCCAGTTTTAAGTTTTACCAGCCTAGTAGTTCCTCAGCAGCTATTGCCTTTCTCCTTGAAGGCCCTGAAAGAAATGCCAAGGACACTGCTTTGATCACTCAGGCTGACATTAAACTGGATCAGAGTGATGTCCTACAGGCAAGGGTGTTTACAGAATCATCAACATACACCAGATCCACACAGATCTAGCGGTGATGCAAGAGGAAACAGAAATCTGCCTCATCAGTGTCGGTGTGCACCTAAGGACATCTTGGAAAGGTCTACATGTCCCAATCCAGACCAGATGTAGTAATCCTTGGACTCAGCACCACACTAAGTGTCAACACAGTAGGCATAGCACAGGGCTTCAGGACAGTCCTATACCCATTTTCCCATCCTTTTCCCCAATGACTGGAGTCTCGTTCCACTGTTTGTCCAAGGTTGGGGGAGGGATGGTATGGACAATCCCTTTGCTATACTGGTTAAGGAGGGTCCTGAGGTTCAGTCTGTGGGTACTGGCTGGAGGGCAGGGCCCATGGTATCCCTTTTAACACTGGATTTTACCACAGCAAGTCCAAGAGTGTGCTTCAAATATAAAGCGCCTATTTCTGTTCCTCTGCCCCAAACAAGAGGTACCTAAGCTATGCTTTTAGGAGCTGAGGAAGAGGTGACATGGGAAATTCTGTGGGGTTTTATTTGGCTTTTCTCCACATGTCATTTTCTACTATTATACTAATACCAGGCTCTATGTTTTTTCAGTTGGCTTTTTAGCTTTTGTGAAGCTGCATTGGAATACGAACAGCCTGGTGCCTCTGAGGGCAGAAGATTGCCACAGTGTTTTACTAAACTGCCATCTTGCTTCAAACGTAACTTGTATATGTTATCTTTCCTTTGCTTCCTGTATTAGCCAGAACACTCAGTAATTACAAAGTTGAAAGGAAGTGTCAAAGAGCACAAGTGTGCCTTGTACATCAGCTTTTTGTTACTGTAACAAAATATCTGAGGTAACTAACTTTATAAAGAAAATTAGTTTCTTTTTGGCTCTTGGTTCTGGGAAGTCGCCAAGATCAGGCATTCCATGGGTGATGGTGGCTTGCCGGCAAGTGATCCAGGGAGACACAGGGCAAGGAGTGTTTAGTGTTCAAGTTTCCCTCCATTCGATCTTCTAAAAGCCGAGAAGATTCAGTCACAGGAATTCTACCATAAATCCAATCTCATCAACTCCTAAAGGCCCTGCCCACAAACCCCATCACCCCAGTAAGTGCTCACTAACTCTTAGTTCCATTAACTCAAGTCTCAAGAGTTTAGTTTTGAGTTTCAGGAACCAAATCGTACTCAAACCACAGCACCTTGTCTGGATCTTACTAGAAAAAAAATGTTTTTCAACAGTTTTATGTTAACTATAGGGTCCACAAACGTGCTTTTTATTAAGTTGAATTTCTCCCTTTATTCTTAGTTGGCCAGGTCTCAAAAATATAATGAATGACCATTACAGGTAGACATTTCTAAAATGCTGCTTTAAATCAACCTATCCAGGGACATGTCAGCAACACAGGAAGGAAACAAAGCTATTTGCATACATCATTCCTAACAGGTGGCTCCTATGACCGCTTTCTCGGGGAACTGGGCAGGCAGCACTAAGATAAAGCAGAATGCTGAATCCGAAAGACTCAAGTGACTCGGGGAAGGTGTATGAAATCGCTGCTTCGAACACTGGTATCTGGAGTGCAGGGTTCAAGTCCTTAGCCACTGCACTTGTGACCCAGCTTGCTGCTAATGCACAGCCTGGCTAGTCCTGGTGGGATATGGCTCGTGGCTCCAGCTGTTGAAACGAATCCGAGTCGAATCCGGGTCGGGATGATATTCTGTCAGCTCCACGTTCAGACCAGAGATGGTCTCCCCAAGAAACCGCTGAATTTATTTGGACAATAAGATGCTGGACTCTATGCTTAGTATACGCTTGCAATGAAACAAGGTTGACTGATTTTGAAATATAATACTGCTACAAGGTGGAGGAATCCACTATGGGGGAAGGGCACGGGGAGGGATTGGGAGACTCCCAGTCTATGAAACTGTCACATAATGCAACATAATTAATTAAAAAAAAAACTAGTTTAAAAAAAAAGGAATTTGAGGAGTGCATCAAGGGAACTTCAATGTCGACGTACAGTAAAATAAAAAGTTAAAAAAAAAAAAAGGTCACTTGCCTTTAGGTGTAATTCTGCCCAAACTCCGTGATCTTTGGCCAAGAGATTAAAATTTTTATTCGCACAAGATTGGCTTAGAGCCCGAAAGCCACTGCCAGGGTGCCCTGTGGCATTTCTCACAGGATCAGTGAGGAGGTAGAACCAGCAAGCATGCGGGAACAGCCGCTCGGTTCCTCTCGCACCATGGGCTTCTCAGCCCTTCCTCCCTGGCACCATAGTTGAAAGGTACGAGGTCAACCTGAACCAGCGTAAGGATTCAACTCCAGTTAGGAACTGCATCACCTTTCCTAAGTATCTTTTTTTTGTTGTTGTTAATTAATCCCCCGGAGCCTGCGGGGTGTCGGAATGCTACAAGGTAACGTGAGGCGGGAAGAGCAGCGACGCGCCGACCGATGTCCAGGTCGCAGCCGCGCTTTCCCATTAGCTCCGTCCCGTGGTCGCGCGTGGGCTGGAGCTGACCTGACCGGGACCAAGCTAAGAAAAACTATAAACAGACGGAGACGGAGGCGTGAGGCCGCGACGAAGCCGGGGCTCTCCGTCGCCGGCTGCGGCCGCAGGACGTGGGGTCCACGCCCAGCCTCCAGGGCGTACCCGAGTCCCTCCCCACACGACCCGGCCGCAGCCTCTCCGCCCCGACTCCCGGCATGCACCGCGTCGCCCTTCTCCCTCCGAACGCCCCCCACCTTCGGGGCAGCGCCGACCAATGGCGAGCCGGCGCGGAGCATTGTGGTCCCGTACGCAACCTAGCGTCATTCGGCGGGCCCCCTTCTAAAACAGAAAGCAAAAGACTGAGGGGCCGCGAGGGGAGGGCGCGGGGAGGAGAGGGCGGGTCCCGCGCACGCGCACGGGCGTCCGCGAGGCTGGAAAAGGGGCGGTGCGCGGGCCTACGGCGAGCGGAGTGGGGCGGGGAGTCCGCGCGCCGGGAGGGGCGGGGGGCGGGCGAGGGAGCGGGCGGAGGAGGAAGTGTCATGGCGTCGGGCCGTGGAGCCTCTTCTCGCTGGTTCTTTACTCGGGAGCAGCTGGAGAACACGCCGAGCCGCCGCTGCGGAGTGGAGGCGGATAAAGAGCTCTCGTACCGCCAGCAGGCGGCCAACCTCATCCAGGAAATGGGACAGCGTCTCAATGTGTATCCTTTCCTGGGCTTGGCCCTGTGCCGCCGCCTCACACGCCCTGCCTTTTCCCCCCTCACCCGGTGGCCGGCCCTGGATGTCCTGCGAACATGGCGCCGCAGCATCGCCCGTGGCTGAAGGGGTTGGGGAAGGGCGGGTGGTTCCTCGGGTCGCGCCTTCCACGGGAGGAAGGGCTCGGAGGGGCGGAGGACAGAGGCCGCGTTGTGTAATCTCTTGGGGGGCCGCGCGGGGAGGCGGCGGGGAATGGGAGTGCCGCCCGGGCCCCCGAGGACGGGGTGGGGAATGGTGGGCAGAAGCGGGGCGACCCTCGCTCGGGCCTCTGCGGCTCGGAGCAAGGCTGGCGTTCCGGGAGGGCTTGCGCATCTCCCCGCGGCCCCGGCCGGCTCGATGGCGGGTTCTCGCACCTCGGGAGCTCCCCCGGAGGGCTTTCTGTTCTCGGCGTGGGTTTTGTACGGGTGTCGTCTGTGTGCGCGCGCGCTTCAACTGTTGGAGAGTTGAGGCAGTCGGGGCCGTGGAGGAGCAGCCTCGGGGCTCTCTACGGTCCCGGCAGGGTCCAGGGCCTCCCTGGTCTCCTCCCTTCTCCACCCGCAAGCTCTCCTGTATCTTCGGGTTTTGGCTCCGGTTGCGGATGAGTAAAAAGGGAGGCTTTGGACAAGAACCGCAGCCCGGGAACTTTCCATCACAGTTATTTGGGAAAGGAGCGCCTGAACTTGTTTTTGGGGTTTTTTGTTTTGTTTTGTTTTTTCGGCTATATTCCTAAATGTTCCGTCCCAGCTCTCAACTTACCATAAACACCGCGATTGTTTATATGCACAGGTTTTATATGCATCATTCTTTCACCAAATTCAGCCGAAATGTAAGTACTGTTAACCACTGAATTTTATTTTTTTGAAGTCAGTCGATAATGCAGGGGAAAAAGTTGGGCATTGATTTTACTGTGGGATTTGCCGAGTTGACGGTAAAACAGAATCACTTGATAAACGTTTTTGCTGCACATAATACAAAGGTTTTGTTCTTTTTTTTTTTTTAAAGTTTATCATGAGCTAAACTATAAGCGCCGGGAGCATGTGAGGCTTTGTGCGACCTTTCAAGATGATAACAAAATAAATAGGAAGCATTTCTTTCCGGAACCCTGAGAGTTATTGTATCTTTGTGTTAGCTTACATTGTATAGTTACCATCTGTGTCATAGTTTACTTTGTATAGTTACTTGAATGATTTCACGGGCAGTGCACTGTACAATTTAGGCAGACCCAGACGTTCTGTGATGCATCTTAGTCATACTGGACTCCTTTTGTTTCAAATGGTATAAATTGGGATTGTAACGGTGTTTACAAATGACATTTAAGGCAGCTAGCTGTTCCGAGGTAATTTCTTTTTGCTGACAGTTTCTTAGAATGTCAGGCATTTCTATTTCATATTAGCATTAGTTACCCTTTTAAATTTTTAAAGATTCAAAAGTCAGCATTTACTGAAAATAGACCTATGTTTATGTATGTTTTGACGTAACACTCATCCTTGAGTACCAAAGTACTGATACCATATGTAACCTGTAAATCATTGCAAATGGAATTAATGACACAATTGAAATTTTTAGATTAAGAAAGACAATGGGCTTGCTGTTTGTCCTTTATTGAGTAACATTCATACTGTGTTGCATCTGTTTACCAAAAAAAAAAAAAAAGAAAGGGAAATGAAGTACGGCTGCTTAACTCTGCCTTTATTCTCACTGCATTTACTTTTTACTCCTTTTGATCACACTTTTTTCTAGAATGCTATTCTGGAAAATGTGTAGGAACACAAGACCATGGAAGACTTGATAACATGAATCATCAATCATTAGGACTCTATTTGCTTTAAAAAAAAAAATAAGTCTTGGAAAATACTTTATTGGAAAGCTCCAGGATTTAATTCTTAATTCCTGTTTTACTCTCTCCTGATCGCAAATTCATTTGCTTTATTAGATTGGCATTAAGATTTATCTTGAACAGTACATGTTGTGTATATGTTTGGATCTCTTGCCAGTCCCTTGATCTGAAACATAAGTGTAATTCTTAGTCTGCTGTTTCCAGCTTTCCGGTTATTTCATTTGCATAACATTTAAGCCAGAGACAGTGTTGGATGAGAAAGGAAGCCATTGGTGATAATATTTAGGTCCAGGGAATTCAATTTTTATTTAAATTTGCACTAATGTAAATATCATACTCATTAAGTAGCCTTGAATAATATTGCAAGTCTCCTTTCTGTACTAGGTGTTCTGTTTGCTGAGTTGGATTTTCTTCTTACCCTGTAGAAGTTTTCACAGGTCTTGTAGTCTGGTTGATGTACTTTAAAACACATAGCTGGATGAAAGCCACAATTCGAAAGTTTAAATTAGCTGGTAAAGCCAGGGCATTTGCATTCTATCTTTTCAGTGTTTTACTGTCAGTAAGAAGCCAGAGAATTAATTTTTATTGATCATTGGTGTTAGTATAAAGCAGCATGGCATCCTTGGTGTTACAAGTATTGACTTTTTTTTTTCTAAGATTTATTTATTTCTGGATCCACCACAATAAGTCATTGTCTAAATCCTCACCTTGCAAACTCAGAATTGCATATGGACACCAGTTTGTGTCCTTGTTGCTCTACTTCCACTCTAGCTCCTTGCTTACATGTTTCTTCTTTGTGGGAAAGGGAAATCTACCATCCACTGATTCACTCCCCAAGTGGCTGCAATAGCTGGATCTGAGCTGATTGAAAACCAGGAGCTTTTTCAAGGTCTTCCATGTGGATGCAGGGTCCCAAGGATTTGAGGCATGCTTTCCCAGACACATAAGCAGGGAGTTGGATTGGAAGTAGAGCAGCAAGAACTGGAACCACAGTCCATATGCAAGTGTAGGATTAGCCTATTGAGCCCCAGTATTGTTTTTTATATTCATTATTATAATCTCAAAAATGGTTGAATGTTTGTGTTGGTGTACTCATACCAGTTGTAGAACTTAATTTTATCTCCTGACTTCCTTGTTTCCTTAAAGTTGAAGAGGGTAGTCTCAAATTTAATGTGAGTTGCTTTTAAATTTAATTCTTCCACATTAGGAGAGATTTTTTTTAGAAAATTGTAATGGAATGTCAGTTAACTATGAAAAGCAAAGTTAAGCTGAACACTATTTGGTAAATAAGTCTTACGGACCAGCAAACTAAAATGTGAAAGAGCTAGACCTTACTATCTGGTCTGAAAATAAATTAATTAAACTATTTTGAAATGTTTCTTTGTTGTTTGTTTGGTTTTTTTTTTTTCAGAGTTCACAGATTTAAATTTTACTCCTAAAGCAAACTGTGCATGTGTTTACGAATAAAATCAGTATCAACATGTGTTGATGACCCAGAAACTATGTTTTATTGGAGTTCTGTTACATTTTCTTATAGCATTGAGTTGCTATCAGCAGTAAATGATTTTGCTTTGTATCTTACATCCATTTGCTCGCTGGGTCAGTGAGGTTTATGTAATTGGCTTTAGCAATTAAAGAATGGCCTTGCTGGATCAGGCTCAGAATCAGTCTAGTGACATACAGAAATCCTGGCTCAACAGTACCCCAAGGCATGTACTAAGGGACCCCAGCTTCTGTGTTAATCATGATTCAGCTTCTCTTAGAAACTGTTCGTTAATTTGACTAATCAAATTTATGACACATTTATTTCTTACACCAGTATAAAATCTTGCCTCTTTCTTGAGCAAAATAAGGAGAACTTTTTGTGGTATGCAAAATTTAATTGCATTGCTCTTTTTAAGGCACTAAGAGTATGTGAGTTCAATGCAGTATTCAGGATTGATGATCTTAATGACTTCTGAGAATATATCATTTATATCCTGAGATTGAGTCTGTACGTCTGAATTAGATTTTAAGTCATTTATATTTGTGCCAAAATTTGACCTTCTTTTATATATTTGAAAGGCAGAGTTACAGAAAAAGGGAGGGACAGATTATGTGTGTGCTGGTTTGTTCCCCAGATGGCCCCAAGGAAGCCAGAATCTTGAAACTCCATTTGAGTCTTCCACTTGGGTGGCAGGTTCCCAAACATTCTGTCGGACCATCTGTTGGGCATATTAGCAGGAACTAAATCAGAAGCGGAGCAGCTGGGCCCAGTGCAATAGCCTAGTGGCTGAAGTCTTCATTTTGCACGCACTGGGATCCCATATGGGCGCCAGTTCTAGTCCCAGCAGCTCACTTCCCATCCAGCTCCCTGTGGTGGCCTGGGAAAGTGGTCAAGGATAGCCCAAAGCCTTGGGACCCTGCACCTGCATGGGAGACCCAGAAGAGGCTCCTGGCTGCCAACTTCAGATCAGCTCAACTACGGCCGCAATGGCCACTTGGTAGTAGATCAACAAATGGAAGATCTTCCTCTCTGTCTCTTCTCCTCTATGTATCTGACTTTACAATAAAAAATAAATAAATGTGTTTTAAAAAAGTGGAGCAGCTGGGACTTGAAATAATGCACATATGGGATGGCTTAATCCGCTACACCATGATACTGGTCCTTGGTTACCACTTTTTGTTCATGGTCTGTATTTTCATTTGGATTGACTCTTAGTAGGTATTGTTTGAAAATTGGAAGGTGCTTTGAGGGAAGCCATAGAAGCACAATCCACTCCCACTGTTGGGGTTCAGGGCAGGGCATTTGGGTTGGTGTTTGTTCTTGGCTTTACTTACTGTTATACCGTGAGTAGAATAATGTCCTACATAGCAAATATTTGTCAGTAGAAATTTCTTGCTACTCACAGATCTGTGTCATCCAGCACAGTATGATACTGATGCCAGTGACTTCTAAGCTAGTACATGCAACAAATAATTAAATAAAATTTCCGTAAGTCATTGTACTAAATGCAGTGAGATCCTATGCAGGCACCAGATTCTCCTTCAACAGTCTCAACAATTTTGCATTGTGCATCCTTGGTTTTCCTCGGGAGCGTTAGCGTTTCTCAGTACATTTGTGTGATTGTGCAGATTAAGTTTTCACATTCAGCTCAAATTGCAACAACTTTGTTAAGCATATCCCAACTAACTAGCTTTCTGTCTCTGGAATGCTCTAATCTTTGCATGCTGTACACATCCTATTGTATTTCATCTATTCAGTGCTCTTTACTATTGAAGTATTACCATGTATATATGAGGTATGTTTTTTGTTGCTGCTGTTTTTTGGGGGGATAATTAAGTCATTCAAAATGTGTTCTGTGAAGTAAAGAAAGATAATCCATCTGGGAGAGTGCATTTATCAATAGGTGTTCCAATGAGTATCTGACATTCTTGACTGCTTTTTCTCAAATTGATCTGTAACAGCTCTAGAAAATGTCCTCAGAAAGCCTCATACTTTTTTTTGGAAATATGCTGTTATCTGCCGAATTACAGGGATGTCGGCTGAAGGAGTATAGTGACCTCTGTATTATCCAAGTCTTCAAAAGTGTTTAATGCTTCCATGTTGACCTCAGTCTAATTTGTCCCAGAACTAAGAAATAGTTCTTAGTCTGTTTTGTGCTGCTGAAAGAGAATACCTGTCATGAGTAATTTATATTGAACAGAAGTTTTTTGGCCTATAGATTTGGAGACTGACAAATCTCAGAATAAGGCTCCAGCATCTGATTCGGGCCTTCTTGCCTACTCAGCACATGGCCCAAGGTAGTAGGGCAAGAACCCCAGTGGGTGAACCTCATCTTTTACACCTTGAATACAGTAGTTGTCATAGCTCATAATTTGGAAATTAGTTGTCTAAGGCTGTATTTTAGGGAAGTGAAAGTGGCCTAACATTAGTGTAAGTTCACAGATGTAAGATCTCAAGAGTAAGAAAAGGGAAGCAAAATTTTGACAAAAGGAAAGGCAAGGGA